CGTCGCCGGCTGTGCGGACCCACACGGCGACCCTGCCGGTACTCACCTGGCCCCACAGCAGTTCTCCGATGCCAATGAAGAGACACCAAAACCACTGAGACAGGGTGAGCTTCGTGCAACTGAAGGGTTTACCCCCGAATTCCACGATGAGAATCTAGAACCAAGAAAGAGGCAGCCTACCGTCAGGTTGATGGGTAACAGGTAGCTAGCTGTCCAGCCAAGGCCATCATGGCCACATCAACCCCTGCCCCGTGATCCCTGCGGTGCAAGCCCTGATCGGCTTGTTGGAGAAGGAGAAGGAAAGAAACCAGAAGGGGAGAAGGGAAGAGAGACACAGTCTTTATAGAGACCCTGATGGAGGGGCAGATATCGTTACTATGACTATGATTAAGGGACGAGCTGGCGATCCAGGGGGGCTGGAGGCTTCTTGTGACTAAAGCCAGTGGGTGACAAAGAGAAGGCAAAGGGATGGAGAGGGGGAATTGAGGAGGGGGGCAAATAAGGGAGATACCTGCTGGGGGAGACTCAGGAGCCCTTTGTCATAGGGCCAGCTCATAGTCTCCTGTATCTGCAGATGTTTTAGTCTACCTCTGACTAGGGCCAGGAGGAAGGAACCCAAACCTTTTACCACCAGGGCAACTGTGCCCTTGACCCCAGTTCTACAAGAGGAGCCTAAGTCAGGCTTATTGTCAACTGCGTGTGAACCACGTACTTCTCTTTCTCTGTGAATTGCACAGCATTTTCTGCCACGAGCCCCTCGTGAACAAAGGGGCAGGGACAAGGGGAGACCCCGTACAGCACCTACTTGCACCTTTCACGCGTGCTGGCAGGAGGCATGGAAAGGGCCTAGGAGAGTGGCCCTCTCTTTGGTCACTTTGTGAAATTTCTGTGTTTTAGAAAGGTAAGCAAAGGATCCCACAAGTCTTATTTGACTGGCTACCAACACGTTGCCTTGCCCTGGAGCACCTGACCCAGCAGGCTTCAGTTCTAGAGCCGTGTGCAAATGGAAGCCACCTGGGAATCCGAAAGTGTTCAATCTACAGCCCGAGTGCCCATCATGCCCTCATGTCTTCTCCTGCGTACCGAGGGAATCCTGTTCCCAGCTTCTGGCCTTTGCCATCCCAGACCTCCTGCCCCAACTCCAGCTGGAGGCTCACCTGGCTGATGAACGTGCCCAAGACCACACAGCAGAAGATGAGGTTGCGGAAGATGCCTGCAAAGACATTCCTCTCTCCGTGGATCTTGCGGGAGTTGATTTCGTTGAAGAGCTGCATCAGCACAAAGGTGTTGAAAATAATGGTGTAGTGTTGGCTGGGTGGGGAATGCAGAGGCGCCTTCCTCCCGCTATCGATGTCAAAGAATTTCTCACCTAGTGGGGAAGAAGGAAGCATTAGTGGGTGAAGTATGAGCTCCACGAGGGCTCAGGTTGAGTCAGAACACGCTGGCATGGCCAAACTGCTTGCTGACGGCCGGTGTCCGTTCTAATAGGTTAGTATCTGAGCTACACTAGTTATCAAATACTTCTAAGTGTTAGTTCTCATCTCAACGCATCTGACCCTCTTTCTCAGTTTGCTCCAGCGATTTCGACTTCTTGTAGTGCAGCGTGGTGGTAAAACTGTGGACCAGGGTCAGGGCAGACACAGGTTTGACCTTAGTACCATTATTTATTCATTATGTGACCTGAGCTTCGGTTTTTATAATCTATAAAAAAAAAAAAAGAAAGCTATAGAAAGCCACCCTTGTGAAATTCTTTTTCTTTTTTTTAATTTTTTTTTTTTTAACATTTATTTATTATTGAGAGACAGAGAGAGACAGAGCACGAGCAGGGGAGGGGCAGAGAGAAGAGGGGACACAGAGCCTGAAGCAGGCTCCAGGCTCCGAGCTGTCAGCGCAGAGCCCGACGCGGGGCTCGAACTCACACACCGCGAGATCATGACCTGAGCCGAAGTCAGATGCTCAACCGACTGAGCCCCCCGGGCACCCCCACCCTTGTGAAATTCTTGAGAGGGGTACATCAAATAGCATAATGTGCCAGGTAGAGGGAAGAGAGGACACACTCAGTAAACGCAGCTGTTATCACTCCCAGTCTTGTGCTCAGTGTGCACCATTGCTACCTTCTTTCCCCAGGCCATTCTCTGCCCCCATCTCCATTTAGCCCTCTGACCCTTCCCCCAGCCCCAGCCTCACCCTCGGCTCACCGGCAAAGACAAGGAAAAAGATGACAGTGAGCTGATAGACTGCGTGGCCCAAGATGTTCTTCATCATAGTACGTGAGATCAGAGGCTTATTGCGGCCATAGGGGCGACGCTTCAACAGAGACTCCGTAGGAGGCTCGGTGGCCAGGGCCAAGGAGGCAAAAGTGTCCATGATTAGGTTAACCCACAACATCTGCACGGCTTTCAGTGGGGAATCCTGGTGGGAAGAAGAACCAGTCCTTTTAGCTTTCCTTGGAAAACACCCCCTAGCTCCCTCCTCAGCCTCACCTTTGCCCCTGCAATGGCCTAGTTCCCACTATCCACCCAGACTTTGGATCTGGCCATTTCTTAGCTGAGTGACCTTGAGAAAGTTACTTAACCTCTTTGAGCCTTGGTTTCCTCACCTGTAAAATGGAGAGAATACCCACTTTCCAAGATTGCTTTTGAAGAAGAGAGATAACACATAGGAGTACCCATCACAGCGGCTGACAAGGATGTGCTAATTAATGGTAAATGAGTTACCATCCTTCCACACGGGCAGATGGAGACTCAACTCAGCAGAGCTAACTTCTGCCCCAACACCACCGGGGAAACTCTCGTCCGTAATCCTTAGTAGACAGTACCCCACCTCCTGCGTTCCCCAGCCCCCGCCTCACCTCTCCCATCTCGCCCACCCCGCACTCCGCTCCTTTCACCTGAGTGATACAGGCTCCGGTGAAGGCCACAATCACGGCCACCACGTTGACAGTGAGCTGGAACTGCAGAAACTTGGAGATGCTGTCATAGACGTTTCGCCCCCACATCACTGCCTTCACAATGCTGGTGAAGTTGTCGTCTGTTAGGATGATGTCTGATGCCTCCTTTGCCACATCCGTGCCTGCGATACCCTGAGGAAGAAAGGGAAGGAGAACAGTGAGAAACTGGCTAAAGCAGAGCTTATCTACGTTCTGGACCAGGGCTGCAGTTCCTGACCTCCAAGAAGCTTCTGGACCAGGCAGAAACGCCAGAGGGCGCACTTGCCTTGCTAATAACCAAGCCGGCGTATTTTGAGTTCTCGCTTCCAAAGATCAAGGGAAAATGTGACGTTGTCAGTCCACAGAAAACAGGGCTGGGGTCTGATGCCACCGTGTTACTCCTGAACCCAGGCTGGAAATGACAGTTATCTTTTGATATTCCTTTCTCCCTTCTCTCCTACTCCCCCACCTTAGAAATGAAGGAAAGGATAGGAAACATGTCCTATCTATTCTACCTCCAAATTCATACATTTCTTTCTTTTTTTTTTTTTTTAAAGATTTTATTTTTAGGTCATCGCTACCCTCAACATGGGGCTCGAACTCACAACCTTGAGATTAAGAGTCGCAAGCTCCACTGACTGAGCCAGCCAGGTGCCCCTAAATCCTTATACTTCTTTTGCCGCTTGGGGCCCATCTCACTCAAGTCCTCCTGTCCCCGCCCCCCCCCCTCTGATCCCCCCCCCCCAAGCACTTTTTTTGCAGTCACCTATTTTTTCAGGAGGAGTAGCTTCAAGGCACAGTTCAGATGTCCTATCCTTGTTCAAAATTCTCTTCCTGGGGAACCACTAAACGTTTCTTTTTTTTTTTTTTTAATTTTTTTTCAACGTTTATTTATTTTTGGGACAGAGAGACAGAGCGTGAACAGGGGAGGGGCAGAGAGAGAGGGAGACACAGAATCGGAAACAGGCTCCAGGCTCTGAGCCATCAGCCTAGAGCCCGGCATGGGGGGCTTCAGAACTTCCTCACGGACCAACTCAGATAAATCAAAGGACCGTGGACCTGGCTGAAGTCGGACGCTTAACCGACTGCGCCACCCAGGCGCCCCACCACTAAACGTTTCTGAAGAGACATTATCAATGGTTGAAAGCTGTGCTTTTAGAAACAGTAACTCTTCTAGACTGACAGTCAAAGCCCTCAACAGGTGAACTCGGATGGATTCATTCTCCAGCCTACTCCTATCTAATCTTTCTGCTCAAAACCCACTGGTTTATTCACCGTTCTCTGAATCTCTTCTTCAATATAGACTTCTACTTACACCATTTCCTTAAACCTGGAACATCCTCCTTCCTCATCCATTTAAATCTCATCGGTTGTCGATGGTCCTCGCAATTAAGCCCTACTTGCTTTGCAGAACCATCCCTAACACCACCAGCCCATACTTCCATCCCAAGTCTTGCAAATCCTACAATCCATAGAGGAGTGTATTCATTAACTGGGCTTCTAGGAGTAGATGATTTTGTTCTCTTTACCGGGTAATAATATATTCCCTTTCGGATTGCAATAAACAAATACCTGTCATAGACTATACCAGTCAGTTTCCCCATCAAAAAGTTCTCTAATAAATCCACACAATGCCATAACATGCGCTGTAAAAAGGGGGGGGGAAAAAGGAAGGAGGACTCTATGTACTTACTACTATGGAATAATCTCCAGGTTACGTGAAGTGAAAAAGCAATGCGAAAGAAAGAGTGTATGGTGTGTAAATAGATAAGCATAGATAGTAGTATAGATAATATCACTCAGCTAAGAGAATGGAATACAAACATATTACGTGTTTGATTATGTTTTAAAGGAGCAAACAAAGGATACACCAAAAACAAGAGAAGTTACTTAGGGTTAAGAGGGGAGGAAACGGGGTGGAGGTGAGCAGAAGCTGGATTTCTTGGTGTAGACCTTGTTTTGTATATTTGACCTGAGAACTAGAGAACTACTGTATATGAATATAAAACGAAATTAAGTTTAAAAAGCAATTTCCAAAAGGCAAAGCAACACGATATAAATGAACTGGTATAACCAGTTGGTAGCACAACTACACAAAGGAAAAATGTTCCAGGGGCGCCTGGGTGGCTCAGTCGGTTAAGCGTCCGACTTCGGCTCAGGTCATGATCTCGCGGTCCGTGGGTTCGAGCCCCGCGTGGGGCTCTGTGCTGACAGCTCAGAGCCTGGAGCCTCTTCAGATTCTGTGTCTTTCTCTCTCTCTCTGCCCCTCCCCTGCTCACACTCTGTCTCTCTCTGTCTCTCAAAAATAAATAAACATTAAAAAAAAAATTAAAAAAAAAGTTCCAAACGACAGTTTGAAAGACATAGTCCCTTGATGGCAGAACCTGGTAGGATATACCTCCAGGATAAAAAAAGAACTGTAAGAAAGATCTTGAACTGTTTGTAGTAGAGTAATTGTATTATTATTGCTCTTTTGAGACTATCACCTATATTTTAGGGTAAAGCAAATTATGATTATGTTAATGACATTAGGATCGGAATTTTCAGCTTAAGAGATATAAATATAAAATCAAGGAAGTTAAATAAAATTAGCAGGTTAGAGTTCTATAATTCTAAATTTGCATTGGAAATACGAATATGGATTCATGAAGTATTTTACTTTAAAACAAAGAAACACAAAAACAAAAAAAAGAGGCATAAAAGATATATTTCCTCGCTTTGCCCATTGAAAAGATCTAGAAACAAAGAATTACTCAGTAGTCAGGAACACCCTGACATGTAGACTGTGTTCTCTAAATACCATTTCTCACCAAAAAGCAGGACTCCTTTGAGAAATGGATGATTCCAGGCAGGACGAGAAATATGCATGATGATTGTGGAAACTTTTATCATGCCAGAAACCAAGTAAGGTATTAAAGACAATTGCCGTTGTATCTAAAGACCCAGCAATATTCATGAGGCTAATGATGGGTCAATGTGAATGTCAAAATAACAACAAGGGCAATGGATCAAAACACATCAAGTATACTTAAGTCCATGAGTTCATAATGGTATTAAAAAAATAAGTGGTTTTTTTTTTAATGCTTATTTTTGAGAGAGAGAGAGACAGAGAGAGAGAGAGAGAGTAAACAGGCGAGGGGCACAGAGAGGGGGAGACACAGAATCCGAAGCAGGCTCTAGGCCCTGAGCTGTCAGCACAGAGCCCGACGCGGGACTCGGACCCACAAACCGTGAGATCATGACCTGAGCCGAAGTCGGATGCTTAACCGACTGAGCCACCCGGGTGCCCCTTTTGGTTGCTTTTAAAGAGAGCACCCCAAACACAGATTATTCTTGAATATCGTTCCACGGCTTAAAAAAAATCACCAATAGTGCAATACATATGGGAGGCTTACAATCATAAGCTACTTGAGTGTGAGAATGACATTTGCAATCCGGGGGTTTCTACATTTGCTGGAATGTCAGAATGAACCAGTGTGCCTGCTAGGAAAAGCCAAACATTTCTGGGACCCACCCATGTGCTACCGAATCAAGATATCCAAATGTGGAACCTTGGAATATGCGATTTTAAATAAAGTCTCCAAGTGCTTCTGATGCGCTTGGCCTCACGAGCGTAAAGCAGAGTGACGAACAGTGCTGGCGAAGGAATACGTGCTTGATACGTCGTGGTTTCCCTGCCTGTGTCGTCTAGTCTTCACACTTGATGGCTCTCTCGTTACACATACTCTCACTGGCTGGGTCGTTAGGAGCGACAGAGTCAGAAAAAAGAGCGCAGCGTGGGACGTGGAGGCACAGGAAGCGGCAGGCTACAAGAAGCCTGTCCTGGCTTCCTGATGGAGAAGGCAGCTTGCAGGCAGAGAGATGGTGTACTGAGCTGCTTACCATGGCAAAGCCAACATCTGCTTTCTTTAGGGCCGGCCCATCATTCGTGCCATCGCCAGTGACAGCCACCACCTGTCGCTGTTCCCCAACAGTGCTGTCGATGATGCCTGGGAGAAACAGACACACCCCGGTGAGTCCACATGGGCCATCTCAGTCCTCTGCTCCCCTCGAAGGTGCTTTTGGGGTTTTCCTCCCTGGTCCCTGCTACCACCTCCCTTTCTGTCCTTTCTTTTTTATTTTGTGGGTTACAAGCTCACTTGATAGCATGTTGAAAGTGTAACCATCCTTCTGAGCCCTGACAGATCTGTCAGTTCCTGAGAAGCTGCTACTGCTTTGCATTGTTCTGTGCAGGCATCTGAGTAAAGGAAAGGCCAGAGGAGCACCTTGTCCAGCCTTCGAGGTGGCAGCAGGCATGTAAACACAGGTAATTTACAAAGAGAGGTCCAGCTACTAGCTGAAAACAACCACTGGAAGGGGTGAAGACCAGGTGAGGTGGACTGATCCGGTCTTGGGCAGCCACTCTGGCAACGAGAGCAGACGGTGCACTCCTGCCCTCTGGTGGTGGGAGGAGAGCAGTGTCTCAGCCTCCAAGGCCAGGAGGCCTAGCGCTTTGAAGAGGGAGGAGCAAAGGGCACAGTGACAGCCAGCCTGAAGCCACAGGTGGTATAGACTCAGAAGGCTGGAGAGGATCCAGATCATCTACGCCACTCCCATCACCCTCCAGAGGAGAAAACTGAAACCCAGAGAGAGGAAACGCCTTGCAGGGTCCCGAAGCCAGCTGGGGAAGCCCAGCCATCCTTCCATTCCATCTTAGCCAGAGAGGGCCATGTGCTTCCTGAGCAGGAAGAGGAAGCAAAACAACGGGGGGG